ACTCCCACCTGTCCAGACTGACAACCGTCCAGGCCCTCACCTGTCCAGACCCTCACCCGTCCAGACCCTCACGCGTTCAGGCACTCACCCATCTAGACCCTTACCCGTCCAGGATATCACCCGTCCAGGTTCTTACCCATCTACACCCTCACCCGTCAGGCTCTCACCCGTCTAAAACCTCACCCGTCCAGGCTCTCACCCATTCAAGCCTCTTACCCGTCCAGACTCCCACCCGTCCAGGCTCTCACCCATCCAGACTCACAACTGTCCAGACTCACAACCGTCCAGACTCCGACCCATCCAGACTCACAACTGTCCAGACTCACAACCGTCCAGACTCCCACCCGTCCAGACTCACAACCGTCCAGGCCCTCACCCGTCCAGACTCTCACCCGTCCAGACTCTCACCCGTCCAGACTCACAACCGTCCAGACTCCCACCCATCCAGACTCACAACTGTCCAGACTCACAACCGTCCAGACTCCGACCCATCCAGACTCACAACTGTCCAGACTCACAACCGTCCAGACTCCCACCCGTCCAGACTCCCACCTGTCCAGATTCACAACCGTCCAGGCCCTCACCCGTCCAGACTCTCACCCGTCCAGGCACTCACCCGTCCAGACTCACAACCGTCCAGGCCCTCACCTTTCCAGACTCTCACCCGTCCAGGTGCTCACCCATCCAGACTCTCACCCATCCAGACTCTCACCCGTCCAGGCCCTCACCTGTCCAGACTCTCACCCATCCAGACTCTCACCCGTCCAGGCCCTCACCTGTCCCAGAGTCTCACCCATCCAGACCCTCACCCATCCAGACTCTCACCCATCCAGACTAACAACCGTCCAGACTCTCACCCGTCCAGACTCTCACCTGTCCAGGTTCTCACCCGTGCAGACACTCACCCGTCCAGACTCCCACCCGTCCAGACTCAAAACCGTCCAGACTCACAACCGTCCAGACACTCACGCGTCCAGGTCCTCACCCGTCCAGGCTCTCACCCATCCAGGCTCTCACCCATGCAGGTTCTCCCCCATGTAGACTCTCACCCGTTCAGGCTCTCACCCATCCAGGCTCTCACCCATCCAGGTTCTCACCCACTTAGACTCTCACCCGTTCAGGTTCTCACCCATCCAGACTCTCACCCGTTCAGACTCACAACCGTCCAGACTCACAACCGTCCAGACTCTCACCTATCCAGACTCTCACCCGTTCAAACCCTCACCTGTCCAGACTCTCACCCATTCAGGCTCTCAGCTATTAATCAGGCTCTCACTTATTAATCATTTACTCACTGTAGTTATCATTATACACTGATAGAGAAGTAGTTGCCAGAGGAGGATGGCGACCGAGGAGATGGAACAATGAATTCAGCTCATGTGTAGGTGCTGGGTGAATTGTAACATGGCCGTATCATTAGGGATGGCCGGGGCATGGGGAGGTCTTCATCCAGCAGTGGATTGTTCATAGCTGGTGATGATGATGACTAATCATTGGTGCTGCTGTTATTCAGATTGACATTTCTGTCTTTAAAATTAATATTATATCATAGATTGCCTTGTCATTGCAAGTTAAAAGTCTAACAAATCTCAATTTGGTGGTGAAAAAAACAAGATGATTTCCCATGTCTCAATAAAATTAGGTATCAAACAGTCTCAAAATGGCAGGTCTTGTCTCCCAATAGATTCCATTAAGTTAAAGCTGGACCAATTTTGAGGTTCACCTATGCAGAATAATCCATTGTAAAACACAAAATAAAATCAACAAAAATGCTCAAGATGTGGGTAAATCATGAACATTAAAATGGTCACTGAGTGAGCACCACCCTCTTAGGATGAAGGCCACCTTGAGTATCATGAACTCCTATTCTCTCCTCTATTTTGGACACTGCAATTTCACATGCAATGTTTTTTTTTATCTCACAAATAACGTATGCGTCTTTGTGAGCACTACGCAATGTCCACGTGTTCACCCCACGCTCGCGCTTGAATGTAAAGCGTTCAAAACAACACTGGCAAGCTGTTAATGTGTCACAGTGATCACAGTGTGCCAGGCTGTGGTATCGTTTTGACAGCTACACGTGAAGGTGGGTGGCCCTTTTGGTGGAAAACTGGGCAGCATGGCAGGAAATTATTGTTTGTGTTGTATTTGGTGGGAAAGTTTTACCTTTTTAATCCGAAACCTCTTGGGGCATCAAAGCACTTGTGGGTTTTCCTAACGAATATTTGACCAGCGTGCATACACACAGCCAAGTAATGTATGAATGTGTACACAATTAATGACACTTCTAAAGATTTGGCTTTGATATTTAATGCCTGACAATGCATTAACTGGCAGAGCTTGGTATATTGTCTCCTTTGACAAATATAAAAACATTCCAAAATAATATCCACCTCAAATGAGCATTAAGGTGGTGCTCATCTCCTGTTTACAGTCCCAAGCACGTGGTGTAATTTCCCATTCCTATGGCAAATATCAGTCTCACGGTACGACAAGCACTGTTGACTTCCCCACAATGTGGTACTTGTTTAAATGACCCCAGAATGATGATGGGCTGAGTCAAGCTGAGTCAAGCTGAGTCAATCCCCAGCCAGGACTTGAATCTCGCAATGCTCCCGTTTTCGAGCCACTCCACTCTATCGTTGAGCCACCTGCCCGGATAGCTTGGACAGCCTCTTCTATAATGATCCTTAATGTTAATCGCTAACTTGATAAAATATATAAACAGCTATCCAATGCATTTGTACAATGTCAGTTCCGTAAAACATTCTATGACTACCTTAGTAACACCTAATGTCTCTGCCGATGAATGAGCCACTCCACTGCCAAATCTACAAAAAAAATCTTCTACATGAAATATAGTAGTACATCAATCTCCCTTCGAAACTAGAGAGTTTTATTCAGGGTTCTCGTTCACACGTATAAAACGAGAGTCACGGCATTTATCCGAATCTGTCCAGTTGATGAGATATTTTTTGATCATCACTCTTACTTTTTCTCTCTCTGTCTGTAGCATATTTCATCATCTCATCCACAATTTAACATTCTCCCGCTCGTGTCCACTGCATTACCTCACAACCACCGTTATTCTCACGGAAGCAGCCATTACTCCTTTCGTTGCGATTCATATTTAAACCTCCTTTCCGCCGTTTAATGAAGTGTATTTATTGCTGAGGTTTGATTCTGCTAAATCTCATGTCATTTCGCCTATTAACCTAATTCATATATTTGCATATACTTTTTATGCTGCTGTGTACATTCCCGACTGCCCCTTTCCCAGTATAGCATCTGTATCCAGACTGCAAATGACTAAAACCATCCTCATATTGTTGCTGAATTACACCATTTCGTACACGAGATCATCATCATCATCATCTATTTTACTTGCAATGTTATTGTTCCACTGTATATTTGAGATATTATAGTGCACAAATAATCTTAAAACGTATAATTACCTGTAAATGGCAGGATTGCGACAGGCTTTTTATTCCAATGTTTATCTGTATATTCACCATAATCATCCACGAGGCCGAATCACGACATCAGAAATCGTATGGATCGGAATGTGTTATTACATATTGGTAATTTATATTCGTGCTCATTTGACTTGAGGGATAGCATTTTCAAACTCGTTAATTTACAAATCAACATTTTACTGTTCTATGTGTACGAGTATGAGTGTGTTTACAATCTTTAAATATTCAATCAAAAGTGATAATTTCAACTGTTGGTATATCTGTGTGAGCATAATGCCCATATAAAAATAGTTCAAAATACTATATATTCTTAGGTACTGCACCATGATATATAATAATAATCATAATGAATGTATCAGTGAATTTCAGGGGTGTTGTATCTGAACCCGTTTGTGTGTGCGAGCCATTGAAGGCACAGCCACGGTGCCACATTGTGCGTTGTCAGTCACCGTATAAATCAAACATTTGGTAATATTTCCCAATGACTATAGTAAAATCAATGCATACCACTTGATACAAACAGTTCAAAGTCTTTGCCATGTGTTTATCTAAATAGCTTTAGATAAACAAATTTGGAAGGTAGACTTTTAACATTAAAATGTTTGATAATTCTTGAAGACCATGGCGATTTCAGCGATATGTATTGATTGATGTAGGGTTGAGAATGTTTTAAATGAGATAACAATATGTCACTGGATGAGAGGGCATGCCTACCCAAAGTCTATACTCAAGCAAATGAAAAGTTACAAGAAATTACAGGATTCATAAATGGCAGTACATCAATCCACTGCTGGATGACGACCTCACCACATGTTGTTGCTCTCTGGGGTTGTCTGACCATACTTTATCACACCAGTCAGTGCAGGTTGGTGAATAAAACAAATTAACAAGATATACATTTATAAAAAAAATAACTTAAGGGACGGAAATTCATTTAAATTGTAAATCCTATAACAGAAAATACAAATAATCCTCTCTAAACATCACCAACTAAAGATGGAATGTAATATTTTAAGGTGCATTGATCACCATGATTAAGCTGAGAACACACATACTAGCCACATCGATACTGAAAACATTTAAACTTCTACCTGAAAAAAACAATAAATAAAAAGATCCCCCGTGCAGCCTCTACATTCTGTTTGGCAAAGTGCTGTTAGCGAGCACCTACGAAGGCCGGCATGAAGCAATAGTATGGCCAAAACGTCCGGTCCGCTTTGTCTCCCCAGAGCTGATGTTTACTGCACCGGTTTACTCGTTTAAGGTTGAGTCACCTGGGTGGTGGAGGGGAGAGGCCCAGGACGGGTTGACATATTCTACACTGGTTTTGGCCGTGAGCAGGAATCGAACTCGGACAGCCGGTTTCATCGGGCAGTACGCTACCTATAGCACTACGGCTCCGACTCGGACAAACATGCAAAGACAAAGAAACAAACGCACGCCCGCTCGGGAACGAATTTTTAGCGTCGCCCGAAGTACGGGGCAAGCAAGTGGGCTAGGTGCTGCTGGGTGCTGCTGTATTACCTGTAGAGGCTCTGTGGCCCTGGGTCGTAGCCGTGAGGACGCCCTGCCCCGAGCTCCATGCTGTAGGGCGCGCTGGGGCTGGAGGGCACGTACTGGGGCAGCTCGGTCGAGGGCGGAAGATAAGAGAGATGGGAACTCTGCCCCTCGCCCAAAACTCCATTCTGCTGCGGCTGTGGCTGCTGCTGCTGCTGCTGCTGGTGGTGGTGCTGCTGATGCTGGTGCTGGTGATGCTGGTGCTGATGTTGTTGTTGTTGATGAGCTCCAATTGAGAACTCTGTGCACGAGGGAGGCAGTGGCTGGTAGAGCGAGGCCCCGGAGTACTCGTAGCCATGTGCCTCGCTGAAGGACGACGATGATGACGCCGCCATGGGCATGTCCCTGTTGTTGATGCAGAAGCCCCGGTCTGCCTCGGAGCAGGGCCCCGGGTTCATGATGCCCTCGCGGCACTGCCTCTGGCTCTGTGCCCCCAGGCTGCTCGAGGGAGATGTGGCCGCCTCCACCTGTTGCAGTAGGTTTGACAACGACGAGGCTTTTGGGAAAGGTCCTGCCATGCTCCCTCGAAGTCTGTGATCGACGCACGCATACAACATACGCACGCAAAAAAATGTTAAACAAAAAAAAATTCCCTCTCGCTACGACATCAATATTCAGCCACTTATAAATCCAGCTACTCCTAATGTAAGATTGGTAGTTTCCAAGCCCCCTTCCTTCCGGGGGCAGTGGCTTAGAGGTCTCAACTATTGCGGGGCTGTCTCTAACCCACCAACACCTCCTTACTTGTGTACTGCCGGTGCCGTCACACCGCGGCACTGCCAGTGGCTTCTGTGCTCACAGTTTGTTTGGCAGGCGGTGGGTAAACGCATCAAACTTTGCTCCTAAAGTCGCGCTTGGGTTTTTACCATTGCTACTCGCTATATTGGCTGCCAGCCAGTGGTGGTTATTTATTTATTTAGTTTATGTCAGCACTGATGTTACCAACTGCGTTGGAGCAGGAGGAGACAACAGTCACGTTAAGAGGTGCCAAATCAATATCAATGATCGTCGCTCATCCCTGGTAGTTTTATGCAGCTTGATTTAAAGCTCATAATTGCGTGTAAACTTTGCCACGCAGACAACAGAATACATCGTCGTGTGTAATTGCAAACTTATTTCTTGCTGGCTATAATTCTAATTTATCTACCAAGGATTGTTTTGTATGATTAGTAATGCAATGCATTAAAATGCCAATGGCTTAATATGTACTGTGAACAGGTAAAAGCTAGATATTTCATTTAATGCGGCTTGATTTTTCTTGCAGGAATAATAATTGCCATGGCAATGGTTTCGGTGCAAACTCGCTGCGTTCTGTAGCGCTTTGCGAGTGTGTTCTCGCATTGGCACCGCCACCACCTCTGGGTTCAGCTGCTGGGGCCAAGGAGGCATCATCTGCATGAACGGCTGTCAGTCCAGCCACGTGTGAGTGCTGCTTAGTGCTGTGTTCTACAGGAGAAGCAAGATGAATAATTTATCCCTAAACCTACCAAACACTTAGTTGGCACTTGGTGGGAGTTTTAAAAATGGCATTTTTCATTCATGAATTTAAGGGCGGAAAAAAGTCCACTACCCACAAAGCTTTAATTAGTAAATGTTTACTCATTGTTTTTAGCATATTGTAAACATTTTGATGTACCTTTATACTGCCTTGACTTGCCAAAGTTGCAATTTAAATGAAAGCTACGTTGACAGGAATGTTAGATCTTCACGCCAGAACATTTTCTGAAAATAACACGTACGAACTGTATCTATATTAATAGCCTACGGATATTTTTTCTACAAATCCTAATTCTTAAATCAATTAGTTATATTTTGCATTCAATTCGTAAAAGACCTTTGTTTTAAATCTCAATAAATCCTGTTTTATTTTCATGATCTTAAATATCCTCACAATTTTTTTTTAAAATTACATTACTATTGCATTTATTTCAGCACACACACACACCATCATAGGATTATTAAATGTATAATATATCTGCGAGTAAATAATTATCCAAATCTCAAAGAGGCACATTAGTAAACACCGAGTCTACGAATCAATGTCTCGAAAAGATCTTCTACTCACTCCCCTAAGAAGATTACACAGGCATTAACCGTCGCTGTACGCACTTAACTACCTCAGTGCTTTAATAATCTGGCATCATTCTTACTGGAGCCAGTAAACATATTGTTCCACAAGACGAGACAACAACACACACAAAGCTATCCGGTTTCAAATAACAGTAGTCAGAGCAAAGAAATCCCCAAATATGAAACTCTGTATTTTAGTCAATTCTCTCGGTGGGTCTCAAAGAAAAAACAACACACCGTATGAAATATTTATGCTATGTTCTCAAGGAATTTCTAGCCAGCACAGTGGGAGATGTTATGTTGTAAGTGGTTTAATCTGTTTGTAATATTAACCAAATGTGAAAATGAGATGTGCGATATAAAACAACAAGGAAAACCTCTGAACAAAAATCTAAAAACACGTTTTTTATTCTTCTATAACATATTTGCCACTGCAGTATTTTTTTTTTAAATGTACTGATTAAATGTTATTTTTTGTTTAGAATGTTCATGCTAAGTAGGCCATCTTGTGGTCTGTAGTTCCATTGCAAGAAAATAATTAACACGATACACTAGTGTGATCTATTTGCACACGGATCCATAGACAAAATACTGGCTTATCACACCAACTCCACGTAAGATGCACCAAGGCTGTGTTGCAAACACTGGAACTATGGAATATCCTAATTTCCCCACTAAAATGTTATAACAGTAGTAAATATAACACAGTTTAATTCATGTTTTGTGTCAGGCATAGAGCTTTCATTCAGGATTAAACTAAAGCAAAATAAATTCCAGTAAAAAATATCGCCTATAACCCTAATAACATTCAAGACGTCTAAACATACAATGGAGTAATTTGAGCATAAATCAATGTCATTTTATGAACCCGCACCCCTGCCAAATTATATTACTGAGCCTAGTACAATTATTTAAAGAAATCGAACGATATAGTTATGCATATATTAAATTAAATAAATCAGCGATCTCTTACTGATGAATTCCGTTATGAAAATTCGCAAGCAATAGCAGCAGCCTGTGCATTGGTGAATCTCCATTCTGAATTATTTTTCACTTTGTTTTGACGTTTGCACGCATTACACAAGAACAGGTGTTAAAAAGATAATCGCCCACTCGTTCCTGTATTGCACCCTGTACAACTTTCAACACAGAGGGCCATTCAAACATTATGTGGATTACTTCTACAGCACTCTGGTATGTCTGGCCAGTGTGAAAGAGTAGACCAAAAATACACTCCTGAAGGGGCTGTCTCTCGTGTTCCTGCTGCGTACAGGCAACTTCTGCCTGCCGTGGCATGAGCGAGTAATTGCAACGCTGCACTTCTACTTTTACCACTGTGGTTATCCGGCTGGTTGGTACTGTGCTTTAAAGCACTCATCTCATACAAGTAACGTGCATTTAAATCTCGGTCGCGGGTGAACTCAAATCAGTTGTTCATCCAGAGCTGATAAACTTGCTACCAATTTGTGAAAATTCAAAAGTGACTGACTGGCCCCTGCCAGGGGAATATGTAATCAGACCACTGGATTTGGATGGTCAAAAGACACAAGGGCCACCTGATTATTTACTGGACTTTTGTGAAAAAATAACTTCATAGCTCATCGGATTTCTCCAGGATAAATAAAGATTTTGATTCTGATATCTGAGTACAGACACTTTTTGACTTTTTCCATACATTAAACGAAAGATCACGAATATCCTGCATGGCTTTTGATAAAAGCATAGTACTTAGTTGAATAATGGAGTCATTACACATGATTAATGTTTTAAGAATTAGCCTTTAACACTAACAAACTACTATTTATTCCTTCAACCAGTGGTTAAAGCACTGAACAGCAGAGGGGCAACACCATGTGAGGGTGTGGAAGGGTGATGCAGCCCTGTTGATAAACAAAGAATCACCCGCAAGCATCATGGTCAACAGTGGTCACACTTGTGCCTCATAGTAAGAAGGGCCTGGTTTCGATTCTGGATGTGGGCACCTTTCTGTGTGGTGTTTGTATATTCCTTCCCCTATTCTGCATGGGTTTCCTCCGAGTTCTCCAGTTTCCTCCCATAGCAAATTAAAAATAATACAATGTAAGTGGTATTGGCCAAACATACCAATGCTGAAAGATCAATTACTAAATTAGGATTACTGATAGCAACATCGTCCCCTACTGCGAAAACTTGGCAGAACCTTCCTGATAAAGTCTTGAGACTCATGGAAGTTTTCCTGCATATAATAACACAATCTATATGATAATGTATATCCCTATGTGAATCCACTGCTGGATGAAGGCCTGCCCATGCCATGCCTATCATTGGGGCTGTTGGAGCATTCTTCCCCACATATGGTGAATAAAAAAATGTCCAAATAACTTAAAGGATTGTGATGGTGAAGGGGTGCTTTGTACTAGCTCAAACATCACTTGATTTTGTATATTTTTATATGTAAGCTTGTTTACCCAAGAAAGCCTCACTGAGTCTCAAGACTATTATTCTGGAGGGTTCTGCTAATTGTTTGCAGTAGGGCGTGGTGTTGTTGCTGTGTATAAACCCAATATCTGTTAGATTTTTTTTAATCTTTGGGATAAAACCAGAGAATCCAGGGGAGAACATACAAATACCACGCAGAAAAGTGCCTGAGTTGGGAGTTGAACCCAGGTACTTTTTGCTGCGAGGCATGATTGTTACCACTGCGCCAACCTGCTGCATAATTATTGCCTGCGAGGTCAGGAACCAAACTCAAATCATTGGGTTCAGAGCAAAGTGCATGAGCCCCTGCACTTGCGTGACACACCCCTCATGGCATACAGAGAGGAAAACGTAAGATGATCAATAAAACCAGCGAGGAAAGTCAAGTAACAGCAAGTCTCAGGAAAGAGACCCAGCCTGCACATCAGCAACGATGAATATTCAGAAAATATAATAACAGCGTGTATATATAGAATGTTAAGTAAATGTTTTGACAAGTGTCTGAAAGATTATATCAATGGCTGTATCTATAGTAAGAATTATGCTAATCTGTTGATAACTAGTTTGTAGTAATTAGATGATTAATTCACTAAATTGTGAAAATAAAGCAACGAGAGAGGATCTCTGATTTTGGGAGGTTTCAAAGTATATTAAATAATTAACACGTTTCAATGCTTTACCCAGCAGCCCATTCAACAGGGCACATACACATCTCCAATGCGATCCCCCTCATGTGTACATGCTGCTGCTGCTGCAGCAGAAACAATGACAGTCGCAGCAACGGATCCAGCTACAGCAGCTGCTACAGCAACTTCTACAGCAGCAGCTACAAGTATATATATATTTTTTCTTTTCCGCTTGTGTGTTAATCTGTGTTCACCCCGGATATTTTAGAGATGGCAATTCTCTTGCTGTGTATCCTACTGCTGTCCCTCCCGGCCATATCTGGTGCCACACTCAACTCTACAAACAGCTACCCTCATTACTTTGCGTCCATACTTGTT